TTTGTGCCATATTTTTTATATATTAAGCGCCCGTCGCTTTTTTCACAATAATACAGTATTTTTCGTTCGTTGATGTTTCAAGCTTATTTAAAAAAATATTTTCAACTTTTTAGTTAGATGTTCTTTAAAAGCGTGCTTTTTAGTTTTTTTAACTTTTTTTTTTTCGTTTTAGAATCACTAAAAAATCAGCATCGAAATCAGCTAAAGACACATCATGTACTTCGTTTGTCTAGGCCTAGACGTTTTGGTAGATTAGTAGCCCTTGGGAGCGGGGGGAGATCAAACCCTGCCCCCTTAATAATAATACTAGGTCCGGCCCTGTTTACAGGTATCGTCACTCATAACTTGGCGATGGCAGGTCTATGAGACTTTAACAATGAAAATACAATTTTTTTTTCGAACATAAAACCCATTGTTCCTTGTTCAAAGAATTTATCATAAACTTCAACAGTGCTAAATGATGTGAGAGACCTTATTTATGAAGTTCAACGACCGGCGTTTCCACTTCACTTCTGTTAATTTGAAACATTTCATTACAAGGTGGCATCTACAAAAGACCTAAGGAATGAAATATCGATCATATGCCACGGGAATCTAATCTATTATACTATCATACAAACATACCGATAACTCAGTCTTCGCAATACCGAGACAGCCAAAAAAAACAACCCTATCAGAAATGTTTGTCAAGGTCCGCTTGTCGTATGTGCATAGTCCGCAATCATTTCGTTTTTCGTTCATCCACGGCCAACCGCGTTTGCCGCGAAATTCGTCAAGCCCAATTGTAGAGATGTGTAAACAAGATAAATGCTTCCTAATAAGCGCAGGTGTCTTATTAACGATGTGAGTCACCAGTAGGCGAAAAAGAGGGGGCGGAGGAATGCCCTATAAGGTGTGCGTGTATACGCCGCACAAGGACGACTCTTTGTCTGATCTGACCCACGCGGTTTGTTTATTTGGTCGGTTTTAATTTAACGAACGACCGTTTAAATTCCAACAATGAATTTCTACTTTTACCGCATTTCATACTTTGCGGCGTGAACATTTTCATTACGATTCTCTTTTGGTGAATTTTAATTTTTCTCAAAAAATAATTATTTATCTATTTCTATTTTGTCCTTTTCAAAGTAGTCACCCTCGATATCAGAAAATTGCTGAACACTTCCGACTTTTAAGCCTCTCACATGCCTAAACATGCTTAACAGCTGAAACTGTGAACATATGTTCAAGACGAGTGTACCAACATACAAAAACAAAAAAAACACTAATCGAATGTCCGTCGACCGCGAAATTTGAATGTTCACCTTAACGTTAAGCTAGTAGAACCCACAATATCTCCGTTAAATGTAGAGCAAAATATTCAGAAATAGAGTACAAAATTATCTTGAAATTGTGATCTGAAAATAATTTTGGAAATATAAAGTGGTTCTGCTATCTTAACGTTAAACTAGTAGGTTGGGTTCTGCCAGCTCAACGTTAAGCGATATATCCGTTGAATGTATAGCGCAAAAAATTCTGAAAAATAGTAAAAAATCGGACAAAAATTGTGGCCTGAGAATAATTTTGAAAATTCAAAGTGGATCTGCTAGCTTAACGTTGAGCCAGCAGGTTGAGTTCTGTTAGCTCAACGGTAAGCTAGCAGAACCAACGATATTTTTGTTGAGTGTATAGCAACACATTCGGAAATAGAGCACAACATTAACTCACAATTGTGATCTGAAAATAATTTTGGAAATATAAAGTGGTTCTGCTATCTTAACGTTAAACTAGTAGGTTGGGTTCTGCTAGCTCAACGTTAAACGATATATCCGTTGAATGTATAGCGCAAAAAATTCTGAAAAAGAGTAAAAAATCAGACAAAAATTGTGACCTGAGATTAATTTTAAAAATTCAAAGTGGATCTGCTAGCTTAACGTTGAGCCAGCAGGTTGGATTCAGCTAGCTCAACGGTAAGATATCAGAACTCACGATATCTCCGTTGAATGCATAGCAAAAATTCAGAAACACAGTCCAACATTAACTCAAAATTTTGAACTGAAAATAATTTTGAAAATTCAAAGTGGTTCTGCTATCTTAACGTTAAACTAGTAGGTTGGGTTCTGCTAGCTCAACGTTAAGGGATATATCCGTTGAATATATACCTCAAAAAATTCAGAAAAAGTACAAAATCAGACAAAAATTGTGGCCTCAAAATAATTTTAAAAATTCAAAGTGTTTCTACTAGCTTAACGGTAAGCTAGCAGAACCCACGATATCTTCCTTGAATGTATAACACAAAATTTAGAAATAGAGTACAACATTAACTAACAATTGTGAACTGAAAATAATTTAGGGAATTTGAAGTGGTTCTGCTATCTTAACGTTGAAGTAGTAGGTTGGGTTCTGCTAGCTCAACGTTAAGCGATATATCCGTTGAATATATAGCGCAAAAAATTCAGAAAAAGAGTGAAAAATCAGCCAAAAATTTTGGCCTAAAACTAATTTTAAAAAGTGGTTCTGTTAGCTTAACGTTGAGCCAGCAGGTTGGATTCAGCTAGCTCAACGGTAAGATATCAGAACTCACGATATCTCCGTTGAATGCATAGCAAAAAATTCAGAAACACAGTACAACATTAACTCAAAATTTTGAACTGAAAATAATTTTGAAAATTTAAAGTGGTTCTGCTATCTTAACGTTAAACTACTAGGTTGGGTTCTGCTAGCTCAACGTTAAGCGATATATCCATTGAATGTACAGCGCAAAAATTCAGAAAAAGAGTACATGATCAGCCAAAAATTGTAGCCTAAAGATAATTTAAAAAATTCAAAGTGGTACCACTAGCTTAAAGTTGAGCCACGATATCTCAGTTGAATGTATAGTAGAAAATTTATAATTGGAGTACAAAATTAACTCTACATTCGGAAATAGAGCACAACATTAACTCACAATTGTGATCTGAAAATAATTTTGAAAATTCAAAGTGGTTCTGCTATCTTAACGTTGAACTAGTAGGTTGGGTTCTGCTAGCTCAACGTTAAGCGATATATCCATTGAATGTATAGCGCAAAAATTCAAAAAAAGAGTACATAATCAGCCAAAAATTGTGGCTATCTTAACGTTAAACTAGTAGGTTGGGTTCTGCTAGCTCAACTTCAAGCGACATATCCATTGAATGTATAGCGCAAAAATTCAGAAAAAGAGTACAAAATCAGCCGAAAATTGTAGCCTAAAGATAATTTTAAAAATTCAAACTGGTACCACTGGCTTAACGTTGAGCCACGATATCTCAGTTGAATGTATAGTAGAAAATTTATAATTGGAGTACAAAATTAACTCGAAATTGTGAACTGAATATAATTTTGAAAATTCAAAGAGGTTCTGCTATCTTAACGTTAAACTACTAGGTTGGGTTCTGCTAGCTCAACGTTAAGCGATATATCCGTTGAATGTATAGAGCAAGCTTAACACTGAGCTAGCAGGTTGGGTTCTCTTAGCTCAACGGTAAGTTATCAGAACCCACGATATCTTCCTTGAATGTATAACAAAAAATTCAGAAATGGAGTACAACATTAACTCACAATTGTAAACTGAAAAAAATTTAGAGAATTTAGAGTGGTTCTGCTATCTTAACATTAAGCGATATATTCGTTGAATGTATAGAGCTAGCTCAACATTGAGCTAGCGGGTTGGGTTCTCTTAGCTCAACGGTAAGTTATCAGAACCCACGATATCTTCCTTGAATGAAAAGCGCAAAAAATTCAGAAATAGAGTATTTTTTTTATTTTAATTAGCATTGATACAGGTTCTTCAGTTATTCAAGTTATATGAATGAAAATACCCAATGAAAATGTTTCTGAATCAACATTTCTATAAAACGCCTCTCTTCATCTGAATTTAATTACCAATTCATTTTTTTCAAATTTCTATACTCTTAAATTAACCTATACAACCGGACAAACTAAAAGCTTCGATAAATCTAATCTTTTTGAACTATATCCGAAGACTAGCGGTTCTTACGCTCTACAACATTCCCACGACAAAGAACAAAATAATTTCCTTATCTTTCCGTGTAATGTCGTGTCGATGCCGTTTCCTGTGCCAATTTCCACGTACCGATTTCGACCCGCGTTGACAGGTGTTTTACTGTTACCGTAATCACGGACAACGATATGGGGAATGATCTGCCGTGTTTCTTTCAATTGTTGCACATATTTAGCTCGTTATGAATATCTAGAGCGTATGCACAGCACCAGTTGATCGTGATATTCCTGGTAGATTTTAACAAGAGAAAATCTCAACGGCTGCCAGTTTGTCTCGGACTGAGGAAAGGTTTAATTATCTCGAGGGTTCAAAGAAACTCGTTTTCACAATTAACATATATGTTTTTCCAGCTGTCGCACCCCTCAGAAGTCGAAACTTGTGCGAGATAAGGACTAACGAGGTCTTACCTTTTAAAGTGTGATTCCTAACACGGGTTGGACGATAGCGAGTGAAAATCGATCGTTCAGCCTGCGGCTTGAACCACCGACCAACACGACGGTCGATTTGAGTGAGTCAACAAAGCACCGACGTCGAACCGACCGGCTACCGAGCGACCGACATGACAATATATTTAATGAAACCAAATCTAAAGCTACCAAATACTAAATTCGGAAAAAAGTCCGAAGCAGTGTACAAGTTATTGAAAAATATTATCAATAATTCCCCATCCACTAATATTTTGATGGAGTTATTGAATTTTATTTTAAAAGCATATAAGGGTGCGTGGGGGTTGCGTTTCTGCCCGGCAAAATATTTTGAGATA